TCTTCAATCCCACCCGGGACAAGCGCAGGGGCACACGGGAAACACGTGAAACCCGGGACACAGGCCCGTTCGGACACGGGCACAGGGGCCGTGGGGCACATTGCCCCCCCCCCCCCCCCTTCCCTCCGGAAGGTGGAGACCGAGATGCAGACGCGGGCAGACGAGTTCGCGCGGGGGCTGGTCGCGGACGACGAGGGCGGAGGAGACGGAGAGACCAACGTCTCCGCTGTTTCCGAGACCCGGGGGCTGATCGAGAAGGAGGAGGGCGGAGGAGAGGCAGCGTCGGCCAACGAGGTATGCGTAGAGCGCGCGCGCCACACGCACTCCACGCACACGCACGTGCACGCGGGCACTACCGCACGCGCGCGCAAGATGCACAGCACTCTAGCGGGGGAGGCAGGGGGCGAGGGCGGCGGAGGGGAGGGGGCGGTGAGCTAGGAGGGCCTAGAAGAACCAAGGGGGGCCGCGCCACACCTCACGGCACGAGACCTCGCCCCCCGTTCCCGCCCGGAGGCGGTCTTTCTCGAGGTCACGGAGATGTTGGTGCCCCTCGAGGGCGGGGCCGACGAGGTGCGCAAGGCATAGGAGGAGCGGGGTGAAGCGGCGGTAGTTGCCGTCGACGAGGCGGCGCAGAGATGAGGAGAAGAGAAGAAGAGGAGAGAGGAGAGGAGAAGAGAAGAGAAGAGAAGAGAACCCTGAGGTGCAACTCGCTTGTGCGCGCAAGGCGGAGGAGGAGCCTGGCGTCGGTCACGGCGTTGCTTCGTTCCGAAGAGTCGCTCCTCACCACACTATCTTACACTAGGCGGAAGAGGAGGACGAGGCGCGGTCGCGCACGGAGGACGCCGGCGGGGAGGGGGGCGGAGCCGCAGCGGCAAACGAGGCGCGCCTCCCCCCCGTGCCATGCACGCAGTCCTGCACACCACACCTCACCCCCCGCCCCCGTCCTTCCCCGCCCCCGAAGGCGGCGGCAGCCCCGGACCTCGTCGCGATCGAGGATGCGCCGGCGGCGGTGCCCACCGCGGACGACGCGATCGCGGACGCTGGCCCCATCGAGGCCCACGAGAAGGACTCCAGGCAAACGGAAGAAGAGGAGGCGGCGGCAGCCAGCGCGGCGTCCTCTTCAGGCTCCTCCTCCTCCTACGTCATGCCCACCGCGGACGATCCGGCGGCAACATCGACGATGGCGGGAGGTTTCTCCGACGAGGTTGGCGCCCCCGCCGCCGTGGGCGAGAGCGGGCGCACATCGGAGCCGATCACCGTCGAGTACGCCGAGGGCCTCCCCTCCCCCCCCTCCGCTGTCCTGGCGGAGGTGGCAATCAGCGCCGCCTCCTCCGCCTCCTCCTCCTACGCCATGCCTTCGGCAGAGGACTACGCGACGGCGGAGGAGGCCGAGGGGGAGGGGGCGTCGGCGTCCACTATTCCCTCCGTTGACAGCGTGCCAGCCCCTCCGCCAGCCCCTCCGCCGCCCCCTCCGCCGCCCCCTCCGTTGCTGCCGCCCCCGCCGCAGCCTGGCTCTGCCACCCCCCCCGGGGAAGAAGAAGAAGGCCTTCAAAAAGAAGAAGGGCCAGAAGTAGTTGCCGTGTGAAGCGCGACGGTCGGTACCGCGGGCGCTCGCGGACGAGGCACGCAAGCGCACGCTTTGCGCAACGACGCGCGGCTACGAGACGGCTCGGTTTGGGGCGATGCAGGAGCGCGAGAGCCTGTCGGCCGCTGGCCGCTGCGGACAGATAGGGCAGGGGACTGGGGGGAGGGGAAGGCATGGCTCGGGCTGCGCGGACAGCGACAGCGGACACCCCCAACGCAGGCCGCAGGGCGGGGCAGGCAGAGCGGATAGGGTGAGGACGAGAGCCAAGGGGGGGCGCAGCAGGGGAGGGGGGCGGGAGGGGGGCAGCTCGAGCGGCAATTTCCTTCACATGCTACACATGCACGCATGTCAATAATAAATCGCGCACGCTCCACACTCGGGCCTCGCCCGCGCTCGGGCGCCAGGGGGTCAGGCGCCACACAAAAACATGACAAAATGCGAACTTCGCACCGCGCTCACAGCGTATTCCCAGTGCTGAGATGGGCGGCGAGGCCCTTCCCAAAGGTGCCAGCCTTGGCCCTTGCCTCGAGCTCCTCCCGGTCGGGCGGCGTCATGAACGCCATCATCGAGCGCAGCCCCACGCGCGCGTGCTTGAGGGGCGCGAGGACACGGCCCTGCCCCTGCGCGGCGGGTCGCGGGTAGCCGAGTGCGTCCTCGCCGAGCAGCTCGCCCACGGGCTCGAGGGACGGCACGGTCACCACCAGGCCCGCGAGCCGCGCCGGCGCATCCGGGTCCCCCCCGATGGGCGGGAAACCGGGGAGCGTGGCGACTTGGCCCGGTGTGCGAGGGGCGAGCACCTCCACGACGACGGTGCCGCCCGGCGAGCCAGCCTGCGTGGAAGGGAGGCATTGGCTGTGTGTGTGTGTGTGTGTGTGTGTGTGTGTGTGTGTGTGTGTGTGTGTGTGTGTGTGTGTGTGTGTGTGTGTGTGTGTGTGTGTGCGTGTGTGTGTGTGCGTGTGTGTGTGTGCGTGTGTGTGTGTGTGTGTGTGTGTGTGCGTGTGTGTGTGTGTGTGTGCGTGTGTGTGTGTGTGTGTGTGCGTGTGTGTGTGTGTGTGTGGGCGTGAGCCTCAAAGAAGGCCATCGACAGCTTCGGCGAGAAGGGCGACTTTTCGAGCAGCCGCGCGGGCGGGCCGAAGATGCTCTCGCTCATCGCTTGCACCGTCCGCTGCAGGTCGCCCGCCGTCACCAGCACCGAGTAGAGGCCGACTGCCGCGTTGGAGTGCTCCGCCTCCCCCGCCTCCCACGTCCACGTCTGGCTCATTGCGTCGAAGCGCGACATGCGCGTGGAGATGCCGTCCACTTTTAGCCGCGACCCGCTGCCCTCGCGACTGCGGAACTCCCAGCCAGCTGGGTCACGGCAGTCCGCGCCAGCCAACTCGATGTCGACGCCTCCGACATGCGCGACGCCGGCCTCAGATACGTTGAAGCCGATTCTCCGCCACGCATCAGCGTCCTCGAAAATGCGCAGCCGCGAGAGGAGTGGCATGCGGCGAGCCATTCTCTCTGCTGAAGGCGCCAGCGCGCAGTGCCGACTGACAGGATGACATCCGCGCCGATAACGGGGGGGGAAGGTGAGGGGGGCCCCAGGGCGGCAGGGGGGGCTCGGGGTCAGCTGTCGGAGGAGGCGAGGGATGAGCTGACGCGGCCTCTGCGAGTGGAGTCGGGACGTACGAGCTCACAGGAAGGCCCGTCGCAGTGGCAGCCGGATCACCGCGACCTTCGACAACGAGGGCCACGCCTCCCCGAGCGAGCCTGAAGAGGAGCCGGCGGTACCAGCCGATAGAGCCAAGGACGATAGAGAGGCCGCGGGTGCGGGCACGACTCGTCGACCAGGGAGAGCGGGCCCGACCTCCCGGGGATGGAAGTGGGTGGGACCCAATGCCACCGTCCTCGCCCGGGGCGACCCCGGCCGGGCCGTCGACGCTCTACCGGTAGACCGTAATGAACCTACGACACCAGTCTACCGGTAGACTGCGGTAGACTCGTCTACCAAACGGTCTACCGTCTACCGGTACTACCGGTAGACGGTAGACGGGCCACCCCTCAGAAATAAATACGAGGTTGTGCGGTTTCTTTTGGGAGTGCCGGTGATAGTACTAGCACGCGCCAGTTCGCACCTGTGTCGAGCCTGTGTGCCGCGTGAGAGTAAATTCTTTTGGGGGGCCCGCGCCACCTCCTTGACAACGTACTGAAGCCCGTCCGCAAAGCGACGCACGCGAAAGACGCTGCCGTACGCGCCCGTCCCGAGCCGCGGCCCCCACTCGAAGTCCGCACGGCAGGACGGCATGCGCGCGAGCGCGAGGCCCGGCAGCTCCTCTCCTCGGTGCAGTTAGTGATCAAACTCGGTGAGGGCGACGTTACGTTTGTCGCCGGCAACAGTTGCTTCGCCTTCACTCGCGAGGTTTCGAGAGCTCTTTTGAAACAGCTAAAAATCAAGTCGCGGCGTGGACGTCCCTCTAGCTAGCCACCCTCCACGACCAACTGGGCCGACGAGAAGCTGCTGTGGTACCTAAAGGAGCTGGGCACGAATACTCCGCCGATCCCGCCCCCGATGTCTTCCGGGGACCCCGCCTGCCCTTGCCTGGCCAGCTGGGGTGATTACCCCCATCGGCACAGCAGCGACGGCATCATTGTGACTCTTGGGTCTGTCGACTACACATACGATTTCACTTACGGCCTTGGAAGCTGCGGGGCGTGGGACGAGCTGAAGCCACCCTACTGCAACGAGGGCGAGACGCCAGAGTGGTGCTTCGACGAGTGGTGCTTTGTGGATGGCGACAGCTGCACTGGCGTTCCGATTGCAGACAGCTCCGGCCTCTTTGACGTGGAGCGGTGGTACGAGGCGCCCGTCAACGAGGCGAGGCCTGCGAGCGATGCCAACCCGGTGGTCTACCGCTTCGTGCTGCGCCGCCGCGCGGGGCAGCCGCCCCTCCCCTCCCACCCCTCCTCCGCGGACCCGGGGCTTGGCGCAGCGGGGGGACGCGGCCGGCGCTCGGCCGCCGGGCCGCCGTCGGACGAGGAGCGCGCCTACTCGCAGTTCAAGGCGGCGGAGCAGAAGCGGGCTCTGAAGGAGGCTAAAAAGCGCCACGAGGGCCACGCGAGGATTCCGGAGGCGGAGTACCGCCGCCGCTTCGAGGCCCACAAGGCGCGGGCTTTGCTGTGAGCGGGCAAAGTAGGCACATGGGACCAGGGTCATCGTCAAGGCACATGGGGCGCGCACTCTAGTTGGCTCTCACTTCACACTTGTCCGACTACGTTACGAAGCCGCGTCCGCAGACTCCTGTGCTCAGCCAGTCAAATGGAAATCTCTAGTCTGTCCGTTAGAGATTTTCGAGAGGAGTGAGGCCTAAAGATTTCAGGGCAGATCTCAGTCTCTAGTCCCGCCTTTGAGATCTCCCAAATCTTCGTCGAGACTTCAGCCGCGGCCTGCCCGTTGCGCGTTGGCGGTGTGGTGCACCCGCCGACCCGCGTCGACCCGTCCTGCGCCCTCCACCCACCTCCCCGGGGCCGCTCCGAGGCGACCCCAAGGCGCCAAGCCGGCCCTCCGAACGCGCACTGCCTCCGTGTACGGTACTATCATTTAACAGTAAGAGTGTCGCCGATGTGTCGTGTCACGCCCCTCCCGATACAGCCGCGAAACAAAAAAACTCCTCTGCCTTCTCTTGACGGCAGGGCCCGTGAGAGCTGAGAGGCTGGGAGCTCGTGTGCTCTGCGGGGTAGAGTGGATGGCTACGGCGCACACACGCCGCCACCGCCTCGTGGTGGCAAACCTTCAGCGACGGCACGCGACTCCTCGGTGAGCGGCTCATAGCGGAGGCGTGGCATCGTCGGCGCGATGGTTGTCTGGCAGCGGTAGGGGACCGTCGCCTACACAGCGAGAGACGAGTCGCTCTCGGCCTCGAGCGGCGGCGGTGGGGGTGGAGGCGGTGAGGGCGGCGGGCTGGACGACAGCGAGGGCGGTGAGGGGGGAGGGTGGGAGGGTGGGGGGGGCTCCTGCCGCTCGTCCACGAGGCCGATGCGCCAGTTGTGGACGAGGCCCGCGATGAGCGCCCGCACCTAGCGTGCGGGGGCAAGCAGTGACGGCCTCGGGACAAGGCGCGGGGCAAAGGGTCGGGCAAGCCCTCGGAGCGGTGGCGGGGCGGGCACCTCGAGCGTCGCGACGCGCGAGCCGGGACACTTCCGCGCGCCGGCCGAGAAGGGGGCGGAGAGCAGCGGGTGGTCGATCAGCTCCGCCGGCGTGCCTGCGCGCACCGCCGCGACGCGTGTGGAGAGGCGCCGCCCGCCCGCCTCCCGGGAGGCGGGACGTCACTGCACGGCACCACTGTCGAGCGCCGCTGTGTGTGTGTTTGGGGGGGCGCGGCGGAGCTCTCTCGCGGCTGCGCCTTCCGCAGTGATCTCGGGCGATCTCGGGTGATGATCTCGGGTGATCTCGGGCGGCGGCGCGCCCTTCCGCTCTGCCACCGCGCCTGCGAGCCAGCGCTCGGGCCGAAAGGCGCGCGGCTGCTCCACGAGCGCCTCGCTCATCTGAAGGAGAGAGGTCTGGAGGTGACGCCGACTTCCGCCCTAGCTGCCGCCCACAAGAGGCGGATGCGTGCGGCACACTGCGCTATGCGGCAGCTACTACTAGAGTGTCGACTGCTCTCGGGTGATCTCGTGCGAGCTCGGGCGAGCTCGGGCAGCCTCTCCGGCGGGGCCTAGGGTGGTCTGAAGCGGCCTCGGCCTGCAGGGAGTGGTTCTCCAGCGCGACCAGCGAGCCGGCGGGGATGCGGTGGCCGGCGAGGTCGATGTCCGCGTCCACCTATGGCGGCGTCGAGGAGGGATGCCGCGCCGTCGGACTGGTCCAGGCAAGGGCGGGCGCGGCAAGCTCCGGCGCCTCCTTGACCGAGGAGATGACGAGTGCGGGCGTGAGCCGATGAGTCTCGCGGACCACCGCCTATGCCGGCAGTGCACGCCTTACGCGCACCTCGCTACGCCCCGCGGGCAGGGGGGCAGGGGAGGGAGGAGAGGAGGTCGGGAGAGAAGGGGAGGGGCGGGCGGGAGGGAGGGAGGGAAGGTGAGGAGGAGGTTGCGGGATTGGGGGGGGGGGGGGGGAGGCAGGAGGAGGGAGGGGTCCAAGGTAGGGGTGGCTCCTTGAGGTAGGGTTAGGGTTAGGGTTAGGGTTAGGGGTAGGGGTAGGGGTAGGGGTAGGGGTAGGGGTAGGGGTAGGGGTAGGGTTAGGGGTAGGGGTAGGGTTAGGGTTAGGGTAAGGTAGGGAGGCTCCTTGAGGTAGGGCAGCTCCTCCTCGATGACGGCGGCGAGCGAGCCGGCGTGCTGCTGCAGCGCGGCGGCCACCTCCTCGCGGAGCCGCTGCTGCACCTCCTGCGGGTGAGGGTGGCGGCCGCCGTGTGAGGCAGCCGCTGCACCGGCTCGCGCGCGAGGGAGGCTGCATCTCTGCTGCGTCTCTGCTGCATCTCTGCTGCATCTCTGCTGCGTCTCTGCTGCGGCTGCGTCTCGGCTGCGTGTCGGCTGCGTCTCTGCCGTGTCTCTGCTGTCTCTCTGCTGTCTCCCTGCTGTCTCCCTGCTGTCTCCCTGCTGCGTCTCTGCTGCATCTCGGCTGTCTCTCGGCTATCTCTCGGCTGTCTCTCTGCTGTCTCTCGGCTGTCTCTCTGCTACTCGGCTGTCTCTCGGCTGTCTCTCGGCTACTCGGCTGTCTCTCGGCTGTCTCTCGGCTACTCGACTGTCTCTCGGCTGTCTCTCTGCTACTCTGCTGTCTCTCGGCTGTCTCTCTGCTACTCGGCTGTCTCTCGGCTGTCTCTCTGCAGCGTCTGCGCGCACACCGGCTCGCGCGCCAGGTGGGCGAGCACCCACGTGGCGATCGAGGAGGTGGTGTCGACCGAGGCGACGAGGGCGACGCTGACAGAGGCGACGATCTCGTCATCGGTCAGCGCATCGGCCGCGCCCGCTGCTGCGGCGGCGCGCTGAGTCCGGACCGTGCTCGCCAAGTACGACGCCTCCTCGGCGGTGCTGAGCGGCTCGGCGGCGTCCAACCTCGCGAGCATCTCACGCACCTAGTCGCGAGGGGAGTGGGCGGGAAGCCGGCGTCGGGGCGGGCCGAGCCGCTCGTCGCAGGGTGCCCTGAGGAGGTGGTCGAAGCGTCGCTTGGCGCGCGAGGTGAGCGACGCACCTGCGCCTCGGCGTAGTCGAGCGCGCCGCTGACGGCGCGGAAGTACTGCTTCATCATCGGCGACTCAAGCCCGAGGCTGCTCATCGCAATGGACGGCAAGTCCTGAATGACGTCGGGGAGCAAGTCGAGCGCCTCGATCGTGTCGACGCAGAAGCGCTCGTCCTCCGGGAGGCTCGCGCCGGGCCGCGGGTCGGACGCGCGGATGCGGCGGCCGAGCGCGAGCCCGGCAAAGAGGTCGAAGGAGGCGCGCGACATGAACGAACCCGCGTCGTCCCAGAGCGGCGCGTTGAGGACCACCTCGCGGCCCGTCGTGCCGATGATGGCCGCGTAGCCCGCCGCGGCGGCCGGCGGGAGGATGCTCTTCTGCATGCCGTGCCGGATGTGCCGCCAATCCTCGCTGCGCGTGAAGAGCTTGCCGACCGTGCGCCCGTGCTTCGTGGCCCAGACGATGAATGGCCACTGCAGCTGGATCGCGCCGTAAGGGTACTTACCCTCCGCTTGCAGCACCTTGACAAATTCGCGTGGGTCGGCACAGAGGGTGAGGTCGCCGGAAATGCCCTTGCCGAGACCCGGGATGCCTACGCGCCACACCGGACCGTGCCGCCGAGTGCCCTCGGCCCAGGACTCGTGCTGCTCATCCAGGCTTTGGACGCTGCTGCCGTCGGGAAGGCTGAGATTGGAGAACCAGGGGAGCGACCCCAAAAGTGGCAGCCTCGGGAAGCCAGGCGGCGGCGCGCTGGGCGAGGACGCAGGCGCGATGATGGAGGACTTGTGGCGGGTGCGGCTGACGACAGCGGTGGCGCGACGACTGAGGGTGCGACAAGCCGTCGGCATTGCCCAGCGGAAAAACAGGACTGCACGCGAGGCCGATTGTAAATCCTGTGTCGGTTCGCGCGCCGGCAGCTGACGCAGTCTCGCCGAGGCTCGCCCCAGCGGGTTGACTCGGCCAGACAAAAAAACCCGGAGAGAGAGAGAGAGAGAGATCGGACAAGTGCACCACACTCCTCTCCTTAAAATCCCTGTGTGGTGGCGGCGTGCCGTCCTCCCATCCCTCCCTTGGGCTGTCTGTTTTCTTTCTTTCTTTCTTTCGGACAAGTGGTCCACACGCTGAACAGAAGAATGTTCAATCTCAATGTCCCACCCCCCTGCGCGCGGGCCTTCTAGGCCCGCGGGTAGTCTCCCCCCATCCCCAGGGCCTTTCTACATACATACATAGGGCCTCCAGGGCTCGCACCTCAACCTCTCATAGACCAGCGCAAAGCGCCAGGTAGGTAGGTAGAAAGGTGAAGAACAGCCAGGCTCGGACTGGACACCAACCAACGCGGTATGGGTGGACGCAAGACAGATGATGACGACACGCACGAGCGACACACAGACACAAACAGGCTCACAAGACACACAGCCAGCTGGCTGCCACACACCCTGAGTTGGCGTACACATAACTCAGGGCCACATTCTTCCTGTCGCCCCCCCCAGCACTCCAAGGTGCCAAGAGAAACAAACAAGGGCACAACAAACAAGGGCGACGAACACACCATGAAAAACAATATCACAGTGTAGATTCTGCCCCACACAGCCCCTTACCCCTTCACCCTCGCCTCGCTGCTTGGTGTTTCTGAACACGTAGTCGTCCACGCTGTGGGGGTTGTGTGTGGGTCCTGTGTCTGGGAGGGAGGGAGTGGGGTGCAGGTTGCTCACCCACGGCACCGGGCCGGTGCTTGTGCACTTTTTGAATGCCGTGGGGCTCCTGCCCGTGTCCGGGCGTGGAGATGCGAGGGTCGCCCCCCCTTGCCCCACCACTTTGTGTGTGTGGAGACGTTTACGTTACCTTACCTTACCTTATGTAGATCACAGTGTCATTGTGTCAAGTGACACACTTGTCACTTCACACACATATCACCTCTTTTGCACACAACACGAATCAATGTGTACTGCATGTGCATGTTGTATCCTCACTCGTCTCACGTCTATGGAGTACGTGCCTCAACTCGCCTCGGTGGCGAGACTGCCCGGCGGGCCGCAGTCTAGCGCCGCCTTGGCCTTGAGCTGGTTGCTGTTGGCGCCTTCAGGCAGGCCGAGGCTCTCCACACTTCCGCCCGCCGCGGCCAGCAACTCCTGGAAGGTCTCGCCGGGCGCATCGGCGGAAATGTGGGGGTTGGCAAAGGCGGTGAACGTGGGGGCGCATGCCGCCTCCGTCTCCGGACCGGGTGGCTCAAATGCTGGACCGTCCGCAGTCAAGTAGAAGCCGGGCTTGGGCGGAAGCTCTGCATACTTTTCCACGGGCCAATCCTTGATGAAGGCGCGCGTGCTGATCTCTGGCAGCTCGCCCGCCCCAATGTATGGGCAGAACTCAGGGAACGTCAGCACAGCATTCGTCTGGTAGAAAGGGTGATCGACACAGAGAAGAGTGCTGCAGCACGTCGTCACCATGCTGATGGAGGCCGCGTCGTCGCGGAGTCTGTTGAAGGCGAGCTTTTCCTTGCCCGTCACGGCGAGCTTATTTGGCCAGTAGCGCAGGTCGAGCGGCTTGCCCTCACCGTGGACGCCCGTCACGCCGCTCGGCAGCGGAGCGCTGGCCTTTTTGTACGCCCAGACGTTCTTGCTGTAGCAGTCGACGCAGCAGCACTCGAGCTGGTGGATGGGCTTTTCGCAGGCAAATGCGACCGACACCGCGCCACAGCGGCACTTGATCGACGCCATGTGCAGAGCGAGCAGGCGGCGAGACGGACCCAGTACAACTGGAAGGGCCTGAGGATCGCCCTCCGGGGACCCACCCAGTGCCTGCCTGGGAAGAGGTTCCTCCTTTCCGCTCCCCCCCCGCAAGGCGCGAGACACAGCTGTCGTTGAGTCGTGACGCACCAGGAGTCGTAGCTGCCCCGCGTTCACGATAGGCGAACCCGCCGCGGCTGGCTTTTGTATAAAACGCCTGTGAATGCCGGACAGGCAGTGTGAAGAAGAGGCACCCGCTTCCTCATACACAATTCTCCCAGTAAGCTAAAAGTACGTACACAAAAAGGTCGGACGGCGACCGAGTTGTCACACGCTCGCAGGACAGACAGTCCCTTCCAATGCTCAGCCAGACCCGGCGGCTCAAGCTTTTCGCCTTCGCGTGCAACACGGGGCTTCTCGGGATCGTCGGCGTCAACTATGTGGCTCACGTCGGCACCATAACACGCAGCCGCGATACGAGTTGGAACACGCCGCTCCACATTATTGGCCACGCAATCCTGGCGTTGCTGCTGACGTCCTGGCTGCGCACGCTGTGCCAGCCGTATTTGCGGCTTCCGGCGGGCTGGCAGGAGCGGATAGGCGCGAGAGATGTCGTGCTAAGCTCGAAGTCGGGCCGGGCGATGCCGCCGCGAGCGTTCGAGTCGAGGGGCCACGTCCTGCTCGGGTTTGACCACAATTGCCGGTGGCTCGGTGTGCCAGTCGCACTGCACAACCGCAAGTTCTTCGTCCTGACCATGTTCTGGGGCGCGGCCATGTGCACCTTCGCTGGCACGCTCTCCGCCTTCGATCTCGCGGCCCTCAAGTCTGGCGCAAACGGCGGGGAGGGCGATGGCGGCTTCTCGCTTCTGCGCGCGGTGAGCCTGAGCGCCTCGCCGCTGCGGCTGATGCTCGCGGTGGCCGAGATCGGGAGCGTGCCCCTCCCCGCCCTCCTCATTTTTCTCGACACGCTCACCGGCGGCTTGCTGCTCTGCCTCTTCGTCACCAACCTGCGCGACGTGCTGCGCAACGTGACCGCCTTTGAAGGGGCGAGGGCCACGTGGGACCTCGGCCGGGCGGCCAACCTGCGCCAGTGGCTCGGCGAATCGCCAGCGCTATGGCTGGTCCCGGTGGCCAACATCCCGGTTGACGGCATCGTCTGGCCCACGGGCAAGCTCGACTAGGGGCGAGAACGCAAGAAGCCGCGCGCGGTCATAGCGGCATCCCATTCTCGACATGGCCACACTCAGCTGCCACGCGTCTCTGGCGTGTGGACTCGTGCCGGAGGCTGCGCTGTGCTTTTGGGTCCAGGGTCGGGGGCTGTGCCAGAGCTCAACCGCAGCTCCGCCGAGCTCTCGGCTTGGCGCTTGCACTACACTCCTGACAGAAGATAAGACGTCCTATGACGCTATCTCGTTTGTGCCCCGTTTGTGCCGCGTCCCGTGCCCCCGAGTTCATTTTAATAACGTGACGCTATCTCTCGCATCTGTCTGTGATTTCAGTCACAGTCGCCGCCCATGAATTGGGGCGGGAAAAACTTTGGAAGGGAGAATCCCCTTAGTTTTCACGCCCGTTCAACGATTTATTTGGACAAGCAACCGTAACGATTGCTGATTGTTCCCTGAAGCAGTCTGTACCCCCTTCGGAACAGCGTGTACCCCTTCGGAACAAAAATCGTAACACCCAGTGTTCCGACTGCACGGACGCTCCCAGCCGCGTTCCCTGCGGCTAGACGATGGTAATCTCTCCCAAGTTCCTCATCCGCGTTGGCTCCGCGAAGTTCGTAGCAAAGGTGGCCATTGTCGGCGGCCGCCTCGCGTGCGAGCGTTTCTCCTCGACGCCGGGCCAAAAGCAGTTCGTGTTGGTCAGTGGCGGTGGCCTCGAGGTGTCGCACTCGGAGCTTTCGTCGCCTCTGTCTCAGGATCAGAAGATCAAGCTCCTCAAGGAGGTACTCGCTCCGGAGAACGTGGCCGCGGTGTATGACGCCTACTACCGAGACTCTGCCGAGGAAGACGCCACCCGCTACCTCGCCTTTGCCCGCATGTTCGAGCGCCACCAGCATTCGACTCTGAAGCCCTCGCCGCCAGAGAGCGACGTGGTGATGAGCTCCAAGCGCCAGCGATCGTTCTCCGGCTCGTATCGCGAAGGCGACGACGACGAGCAGCAGGCCGACCCCGCGGGTGACAGCCCACCTGAGGCCACCATCGATCTCACCGCCTAGTGAGTCTCGCGCCAGAAGTGAGCCTCGTGCCACACGCACGTCGCCACCTTCACACGCAGTGCGAGCGCTTTCATTCGTGAACGTAAGCGAGAGTGGGCCGCTGCCGCCGCGGACAGGCGGCGGATACGCGCGGGGCCGCGCCGCCCGCCGCCCGCCGCGCCTGCTGGGCCTGCACGCTGCCGCAGCGCATGGACGCGGGTGTGCCCGCGCTCACATTACAAAATTAGAGTCTGTTTTGATTTGCACTGTCACTGGGGCCCACGGCACCTCACACCACACCACCGGTTGTCACCGAGACGCAGACAGACAGACAGGCGGCGCTCGCCCGCGCTGGCGGCGCTCGCCCGCGCTGGCGGCGCTCGCCCGCCACCGCGCTGTCGCGGCAATCCGGTGCTCACCGCGCCAGCGATGTGGTCGTTCAAGCACTGCCCTGCCCGGCACAACCAGGTTAGTGGCACGGCACCGCGGCGCTCCTGTGCTCGCGACGTGCCCGCGCTGCGCGTCGGTCGCGACCTACGCGCCGGCGCTCGGCGCACCCAAGTCCAATCTGGAGTTGATCGTTGCTTCCCTTTCGCGAGGCGGTGCGGACTGCCGGAGGCCTCGGTCTCCCCTCTGCCCGTGCGACTTTCGCTAACTCCCTCAGCGTAGATCGTCTCTCTTCGGCGCGCTCGAGCACGTTTGGCACCAAGAGGCTTTGATTCTTACGACCCTCACCCGCCAAGGTAGGTGTGCACTCTGCTAGTACTTGTGTACTCACACCACTACAACGTGGGGTGTGCCCGAGCATGATGTATGTGCGCGTCTGTGTGTGTGTGGGACAGACGTTGTTGTCCTATGCGCGGGGCTTCCCGCGGGGACCGAAGACGTAACAGCAGCAGCAGCAGCACGACGTATTTTCTCAATAACAAGGCTGTGAACGCACAGCGCCATAGGAGGTATTTTCTTCTCAATAACAAGGCTGTGAATCATCGACCGGCGGTACCGGGGTGAGCAGCGGTACGTCGGGGTGAGCTGCATCGAGCGCATGGTTGCGATCGTTGGTCAGCCGGACATGCAAGGCGAACCGTCGAACCAGTCGACGGACGCGCAAGATGCGGCTAATCGACGAAGGCCCCGTGGCGGCGCGGGGAAGCGGATGCTGCAGGAGCGCGCAGCAGAGCTCGGCATGCTACCTTCGGAGCTGGCGCGAGTGCATCAGAGAGACAGAACTGCTCGGCGAGCGGAAGAGCGAAAGGCACGCTGGGCGACGGCATCGGCGGCACAAGGTGGCGAGGACGACGTGCTAGGGGATGCAGCTTCTACTCTTGCCAGCGCGAATGGCCCAGGGAGCTCTGATTGTCCGCAGCCTCCCAGACCCTTTGTGCGCCCGAGTTGGCGTTTCGTCTCTGGGAGCGGCGCCTTTGAGTTGACCGGGCGCTCCATCATGACGGTGAGGCACGGCGTCACGGCACTCCGGCCGGAGCTGCGCTTCTCTTGCTCAATCGAATGTGCTTCCGCGGCCTGGGCTGCGCCGCCAGGCTCGGGGGAGCCACACACCGTGAGGACGAGCACGCCCGCGCAGATGCCATTCCCTCCGCCAACCAGATTGGCGATGGTTTCTCGGTGTGCTGGTCGGTGCTATGCGGCGGAACGCTTGTCGACCTCTGCTTGGGATGCGCTTCCCTCGTTCGAGCGCGCTACCCGTCTAAAGCAGGCAAGGCACGGATGGGAAGGTGTCGATGCCTCCGCTCTGCGCACCGCTTCCACCTTCGAAGTGATCCCCCAAAGGTCACCGCCAGTGAGCACGATGCGCACAGGCAGCGCCGAGCACGGGGAGAGGCCCAGAGAGAAGCCTGGTGATGCGGAGGAGGCTGTCCACGAAGAGGGCGGAGGAGACTGCTTGACATTGCAGCTCGCTTTCTACGCTTGTGACAGCGGCCTGAGTGGAGGGACCCTCGAGCTTCGACTCGACGACGGCACGGTCGACGCTCAAGCCGGCGCTGGCCCAACAGTTGTAGCCGAGGATGCGCCTCTCGCTATCACTCTCACCATTCCTTGGGGTACATAACGCCCGGCCCTAGGTATACGCGCAGCGCCTGCTTGGGCTCAGTCCCCCCGACCCACCTTTTTCCCTTCCTTCGCTATCTCATCTAGGGTTTGAAAAAGTGTGCGGCGGCATGCCGATGGTCGATGGCCTCGGCGGCGCCTGTTACTTGCCGGCGCGGGGCTTATCTTGTGTGGCTTCTTTTCCTCACATATAAAAAGAGAGAGCGGAGAATGTGTTGTACATTATGCGTGTGCACTCGCGATGCCGGATGCCCCGGATGCGGATCGCCGCGCATGCTACGCCACCACCTACGCTCGCCCTCCTCGACAAGCCACGGGTTTTTTGTTTCCGATGGATGGAGGCCGTGTCCCGGACGCCCATGTCCCTCTTTAGCTTGCGTGACGTGGTCGCTCGAGCGACCCCTTTGACCGAGCTGGACGACACCGAGGCAGCTCTCGCAGTGTATCGCACATTCTTCGAGGACGCGAGGACGCGGGATCCGGCGCTGTTTGATCGGCTGAGCGAGACGCTCAACCAGCAGCGCGCAATGTTCAGCGATCCGGAGATCTGGTTATATCGCCGCAGCCTTGACGCGCTGATCATGGCGGAGGGAGGCCACCGCCAGGCTGAGACGCCCTTCTACCTCTACTACTGGGACGACCGCGACGGGCCGTTTTGGCGTGGGTGGTGGGTGACGCCCGATGAGGTCGGCTGCACGCAGTACGTCGCCTTCGCCCGCGGGCACCGCGTGGCCCCCACGGAGTGCGACGGCGAATGGGAGTCGGCCTATCCGATTCCGGGCGTCGATCCGTTTCGAAACGGCAACCCGCGGCAGCCCTACGCGCAGATGGCAATCTTCCCATCCTCCGACGCCGCAGACCCGCCGGGCGCCTTGGCCATCGTCGGGCTGCGCGGCACCAGAGGCGAGCGCGCTGCTGGCGTGTATAATGTACTCGCGGACCACCCTCACCACCATGGCGCCTCACGGCCTGTCTACAAGCGCGCGCGCCCGCTGCGAGAGGGCGAAGAACGGGCGATCCGCAGGGCCAACCTGACCCTGAGGCAGCGTTGGTACGAGGCGGTCGAGTTGGCGCTTGCTTACTCGCGCTGCAAGCCCGCGCTCTTCAGCTGGCTCGAGCGCGCGCAGGCCAGGCTCGACGTCTACGGACCGGACGGTGTGGCGCGCCAGCGCGACCGCGACGAGTTTGAGGCCGACTTTGCCACCTGAAAGTCATGCCCGGCGGCCACACTGGCCGGTGGTCGTTCAGTGTGGTGGGAGTGTGGTGGGGTGGATTTCCTGACCGTTCAGCGTCGATGCCGCCTGCTCCCCGCTGGCGCGACCCTGCGCCGGCCAGCGGAGCCACTGCCCGCTCGGTCACCACCCCCGCCGGCGCGACGCGATCCTCGGCGCCGCCGGCACGGAGCGGTTGATTCCTCGGAGTGTTGGTCGCAGGAGGATGGCTCGCCGGGCAGCTTTGCACACGTCGGGTGGGGACAGGAAACCCATAAATAAATAAATAAATAAAACGGACACACCAAGCAAGGGGTGGGAGAAGGACAGGGTCCCCACCTGCGCGAGCAGGATCTTGTAAGGACGATCAGGGACACAGGAAAACCAGCATACCACTGTGAATACAACTTGTATGCGCTCCGCGCATGTGTGTACGCGCACCCCACCCCCCCCTCCACCTCGGCCTGTGTACCCAAAGAGCAGGCCCAAAGAGCAGGCCCAACAAGAGCAGGCCGAAAGAAAGAGCATGTGAGCTCCCCGGCCCTGGATGTGAGGCTACCAACTGCACTCCAAGTGCTCCAAGTCAAAAGCAGGCCTAAAGAAGCAGGCCCAAAGAGAATCCCAAAGAGCTTGCCCAAAGAGAAAGAGAAAGAGAGAATCTCACATAGCTGGCCCAAAGAGAAAGAGAAAGAGAGAATCCCAAAGAGCTTGCCCAAAGAGAAAGAGAAAGAGAGAATCTCACATAGCTGGCCCAAAGAGAAAGAGAAAGAGAGAATCCCAAAGAGCTTGCCCAAAGAGAAAGAGAAAGAGAGAATCTCAAAGAGCTGGCCCAAAGAGAAAGAGAAAGAGCTGGCCCAAAGAAAAAACGAAGGACCGCTAGCAAGGGACCATTGGGTTTGTACTATTAACAACGAAGGCGCGCTCTCAAGAAAAAAGAGAAAGAGAGAATCTCAAAGAGCTGGCCCAAAGAAAAAAGAGAAAGAGAGAATCTCAAAGAGCTGGCCCAAAGAGAAAGAGAAAGAGAGAATCTCAAAGAGCTGGCCCAAAGAGAAAGAGAAAGAGAGTCTCTCAAAGAGCTGGCCAAAATTTGACATGCACCCCGTTGCAGGATGGGGCGGTCGCGAAAAACACTTTTGCGGCGTTGGCGAGCACGAAGACCTATGCGGAAGCGGGAAGACCTATGCCCCCCCGGGCGCCGCTATTTGATTGACGTGCTCGCGGAAAGAAGTACGCGGACATCCATGTGTGGTGGCGGCGTGCCGTCCTCCCATCCCTCCCTTGGGTTGTCTGTTTCCTATCTTTCTTTTACACCGCGGAAAGATTTTTCAAGTGGCCCGGTACACGGAGCCAACCCTCGTGTACGTGTTCAGACCCCGCGTGTTATGGCCCTGACCGCGCACCCCGCAGGGTCAGGGCTGTCTTGCTCGTAGATCGCAGCCCGTCCCGAGTATCCGGCCCGCGCGCTGGGTGCGCTGCTTATGAAGTGCAGTCGGCAGCCTCGCCATCCACGACGGCCGGGGAGCTAAGAAGCGCACCCAGCGGGCTACGAGCAAGAAGTCGAGCAAGAAAGCCCTGACCCCTAGGGGGGTGCGCGGTCGCAGGGCCATAACACGGGTCTCCGAGGGTTAGCTCCGCGCTTTGGGTTTCCCCCACAGCAGCAGACCGCCCCCTCTACTCGGAGCTAGTAGCGCGAGACACACATAGTACTGGTAATACGAGAATACGCACCGCCTCCACGCAACCAATGCCTTAGTCGAAGATAATACGAACACACCACGCCTATATGAAGAAACAGAGTTAACTTCGGCGGCCATGATAAACCGAAAGTTGTCGTAAAACGCGGGGGAAGCAAAGCAGAGGACGGGTGCTTTTGTGCCGCAGCGATGCCCGCAGCCTTTCGGAGCAGCTTCCGCAGCTTGCCGTCACAGCGAGCCCGTCCCGCTCCTCCCCCATCGGCGCCACCGCCTCCCACGCATCCAGCGCCGGATCGTACCGCTCCACCGAGCTGAGAATGCTGTCGTCGTCGTTGTAGCCTCCCACAGCGTACAGCTTTTGTCGTCGAGCACCGCCGCGGCGGGAGCAAACTGCTCGACCGCCATCGGAGCCACCGCCTCCCACGACTTCGCGGCCAAGTCGTACCGCTCCACCAGGTTGGATGTTGCGAGGTTGTCGGCCACACCCACGCCGCCCGCCGCGTACAGCTTGCCGTCGAGGACCGCCGTGCGGACATACCTCGCGTGCCGTCGGCATCGTCGCCACAGCCTCCTCCTCCCACTCGTTTGTGGACGGGTCGTACCGCTCCAGCGAGCTGATGACGCGTCCAGCGCTGCCTTGGCCGCCGATCACGAGCATGCGTGGCCGCTCGCGCTTCTTCAGCGTCTCCTTCCAGCCGCGGCGCCACGCGCGGCACGTCCCCTTGACGGCGTGCTCCTTGGTCGGCAGCTGGGCGAGGATGTGCGGGGCGAGGTCCGGCGAGAGGAGGACCTCGGAGAGCACCACTCGGGCTGCTCCACGAGCCGTGCGGCGTGCTCCTCCGCCACGCGCAGCACGGCGGCGCGCCAGAGAGGCGCCTGCTCGTCGGTGAAGGCGACGAGCTGCTCTGGTGAGAGGCCAGACAGGCGGGCGCCGATGCGGTGGGAAGCCATTGCGGGAGCAGAGCAGGCGAGGCGACTGTTTCCAGCTTGAGCACTTGAGCTCTTGATGGATACTCGAGCAGGGTCGATTCCGCATGGTACGGGACCCCTCGATCGTCTCACCCTCCCTCACTGGTGTGTTCATTGGGGGGGGGGGGGGGTCATAACAAACACGGTACAGGATCGAGGTGCACGTGCTGAAGCAGTGTCGCCCCCCCTCTCCATCATCATCTCACTGGGAGACGTCGGCGGTGATGGCAGTGTGACCGATCGAGCTACAAGAGGAGCTTGTTCAGCAGGATCCGGGAGGAGGAGGCTGCGCTGCGCGCTGCGCAAGCACGTGCGGGATGCCGACTTCCACCCTCCCGCCGTCCTCCCCGCTTCCCGCCCCTCCGCCCTCGCCATCCCCCATCTGTGCATTCCACTCCGTTCGCTCCCTCCCGCTTGGCGCCCGTCCCGCCCTCCGCCCTCGCCCTCTGCCCCTGCCCTGGCCTGGGCGACATCCCCACACCATCACGCGCCAAGTGGGAGAGGGAAGTGGACGGGGCCCTGTGAGCCGACCTAGCCGCCTTAACCCCGTTATTTTTTACGGAATGGGGCGCCCAACACGTGCCGGATTACTGTGCCTTCCCCGGGCACAGCCTTTCGGCTCGTGAAGGGTCGGTGCGTGTCGTGACCCCCTGGAACACCCGTACCCCCGCACCATCGAAGGGGAATTCCTAAAGATCCGGAAAAATCGCCACCAAAGGCACCAAAGCGAGCAGTTAGAGGCGCACGTACGTGTCTTACTCCAGACGCAAGTCAGACCACGCGGCGGCTTCCGCGCACCGCAAACAGCTGGGCGGTCAGGGAGTAAGCGTCGTTTTCCATCCCCCCTTGCGCGGACAGCAAGCATACGTGGCTCTCATCTGCGCAAGGCCGCATCGCGCGGCGCGCGCGGCGCTGCATCGGGATCGACATATCGAACGCGGCAAATCCCTCGCTGGCGCTCGCGCTCTGCAGCAGGGTGAGCTCCGCCCCGTCCCACGAGTAGACCAGCAGGTTTCGCATGTCGCTCAGGTAGAGCCTCCCGCTGGCGGTGAACATGTCCTGCACCTCGAAGCCGCACGAGGTGGGAGTCCCTGCGAGATGGAGCGGGATGGCCGGGACCACCTTCCGAAGGGGCTCTCCTTCCAGAGAGAAGACGTGCACGCTGTCGCACATGGTCATCAGCAGAGTGCGTGCGAGGCAGACGAGCTGGTTCGGCGCGTCAGAGAACGAGTACTCTCCGAGAGAGAAGCTGTGGTGGTGACGCGTCGCACCGTCCTTGAACACGAACACCTTGTACTCGCGGTCGTCATCGTCCTCGCCATCGTCGTAATACTCCCACGGCCGGGCGCCGGGACAGCGCTCTCCGGTGAGCACGAACACCATGCCCGCGCCGACGGCGATGTGCAAGGACTCGCCATGCACCTCCACGCTCGCCTCTTTGGTCGTTCCGCCCAGTGCGTCGTCCCATTCAAGCACGGTGGGGTCGACCGTCGTGCCGGGGCGCAGATCCGCGATGGTGCACCATCCGACCACCGTCGCTGGGTAGGGGCCGTGCTCCTGTTCGGTCTTCTCCGACACATCGGCGGGCTTCGAGGCGAAGAAGAGCTTGCCGTTGCCGCACGTCAGACGGCGTGGGGCGTACAGCTGGCTGCCACCAGCAGACATGACGACCTCGCCGAGCTTCTCATCGCGCAGCGTCACCAAGTGCAGTTTGCGCGTCGAGAGGTCGGACAGGCAGAGGGCGCCACTGGGCAGCATGACGCACGAGCTCAAGGTGAGAGGCTCGACGGTGGCCGGCGCGTTATGGCGGACAGGCGGTTTCTGCCCCAAGCACGGGTGGCACCTCCGTTCCTCCTTGGGCCACTGCTTCTTCCCAAAGGAAGCTCGGCCTAGGCTCTGACCGCACTTGCTGCAGGCGCGCAGCTCCCCGGCAGGCGCGGGCGGGGGCGCAGGCACGGGTGTGAAGATCGAGGTGATATCCACCACATCGCCGGCCGCGCCCACCACATCACTGCTGGTGCTGGTGCCCGCGCTTGCGCCTTCCAGCAAGCCAAATGAAGCACCGTGCAGGCTGAGCCACTCGGCATTTCGTAGGATGGAGCGAGCGTGGGCGAGCATGGCACTGCAGACTGCTTTGACGGAGCGGACGTCGCGAAGCGACACGAAGATGAGCACGTGGAGCTGGAGAGCGTCGGGAAGGGTCAGCAGCATAATCGTCGGAGAGGCCGAGTGGGGTGGGGGAGGACACGTCGCGCGAAGGGCGGGCAAGTTGCCGCCGAGGAGCCCTGACCGCGTACACCGTCGAAAGTCTGTGCAGGTGTGAACAGCAGCGACTGTTGTTCATCTTTCTACATACACTAGTGTGGGACCTGCGGCGGTACCCGTCTCTGTTGTTCGGGCAGTGAGAGACGCAGGATCTGCACGCCAAAGAGCAAAGTGGGCCACTCCGCATTTGCATTTTGGTTTTGGGTTGTCGGAGATCATCCATCAGCTCTCATGTCTCATCAGTCAGTCACGTCAGTCAAAGCAGTCGTGGCACTCATCAGTCAGTCACGTCAGTCAAAGCAGTCGTGGCACGCGTGGAGCAGTCGCTGCATGCAACGGCGCCGCCACACGCTCCGGACGACCCCGACAACCGACACACCACGCACAATGGGAGGCTATCGCGCACGATCGGGCATCGCGCCGCAAACAACTCGCCGCACAGATGGGGGGGAGGCAGAATCCCACACAGACCGGAGCAGCACCTCGATGTGGCCGGCGCTCTCCCCTCGGTCCTATCTCGCCTTTTCAACGGCGGCGTGCGGCCACGCGTCGCGCCGAGCCGGTCTCGGCGGGAGACCTCGGAGCCGCACGCGATGCGGGCATGCGCGATGGCTCCGTTGGCTCCGTGCCTAAGGCAGATCGATTAGGGTGTGAGCTGGGCAGCCACCGTTTCTGTACCCGCTCGATCACGTGCAGGCCGTCGGAGGCCGCGCTGGATGGCCCAGGGCCGGCGGCGGTGAAGGCGTCCGTCGATGAAGGGATGTCGTCGAGGGAGCCATCGTCCTCCGCGAACGGTGCACCGGTCCAGTTGTCGGAGTCCGAGATCGCAGTCGACTTGGAGAGATGATCGGCCCGTTGACGAACTCACGGAATGTGAGCGACTTGGTGCACGCTGGGTCGAGCATCATGACTCGCACCTCATCCTGGGCGAGGAACTCGCCCAGGGACCAGCTGTTGGCGTCGCCGTTTTGATCGAGCTGCATCCACTGCATGGTTTCGTAGTCAAGCGTAAACGCCCAGGAGTTGGTGCCTGGGTGACTTGCTGATGAGAGCGCCTTCCAGGCGGGTAGTCGTGCCCCTCACCTACGGTCATACGGCGGCGTCAGAGGGGGGGGAGGGGCGCGAAGCGTGAACATGGAGGCAAGCAGGTGTGGCTGCACCTGGCCAAAGCCGGCGACCTCGAAGTTGTCGTAGCTTGTGCGGATATCGCTGAGCGTGAGAGGGACTGGATCGGCAGCAACGCGGGCGGCAGCGGCCGGAGAGGCCGGAGAGCCATCCGACGGAGGCCGGTCGTGCATCGGCGCGTCAGCCGCAGGGGGCGGGGGGGCGGCGGCATCCATCGCTGCGGGTCGCTGCGGGCCGACGATTGTGGACTGATCGATCGTGGCGGGCGGATTTCGGCTGGGACGTTCTACGGTTAAACCAAGAGCGTCGGCGCCGACACGAGAGACTTATAAGGGTAGATACAGCAGCTCCTGAGCACGGTGCCGCAGGCGCCTGTTGATAGGTCCAGGACATGGCATATCGCTCTCGGGCCCACAGACATCCCGCACACCCGCCGCCCCGCGCGCGCCCCACCCCGGCCGGGAGAAAGGGGAACAGTTTGTTTGGGGCGGAAAGTCGAGGAACTCACTCCATGTGCGAGAACGCAGAGAGAAATGAAAGCCGTCCGGCTCACAAGTCCGGCTCACGCGCCCCGAGCTCACCGTCTACCGCACCGAACCTAAGCGCCGTGCGTATCGCGCGCCCTCCCCGCGTTGTTTCTTGCTTGGTTCTCAGGCGCGGCGGCGCCTACGCTTCCCTCCTCCACACGCGCCCGCGATGGAGCCGCCGCCAGAGGCGGCCGACGTGGACTTCTCCGAGGTGTTTGCGGGTGACAAGATCGCCTTCAACAACTCGAAGCTAAATTACTGGCGCACTCCCCGCCGCTGACGCCGCGTTCGCCCGCGCCCGCGCTCCTCCTCTGTTGACGCCGCGATCCCCCGCCCGGTGCAGCCGCGTCTTTGTCGCCATCCTCAGCGGCTGCGTCGCTGGTGTGCTCGGCCTCACCGGCCTGTCAGGCTTTGTTGCCTTCTTTGCGACCGCGCTCCTGCTGTCCGCCGGCCTCTACGTCAAGGTTGGCTGCCAGCCAAAGCCGTTCTTCAAGACGCCGTCCGACATCTGGTTCGACGGCGTCATGCAGGCCATGCTCTCCTACATCCTCTTCTGGACGCTCTTCTACGACATTGTGCACATATATTAGAACGTTCGCCGCCCCGCTCCCTTCTCTCTGATCTAGTGTACAGTCGGGCACCGGGAATCTCTCCGTACCTCTTATTTTGTGATGAATATAATTCAGAAAGCCGGCCGGCACGCGCGACGAGGCACACCCGTGAGCGTATTTAGTGAGATCCGCGACAGTGCTGGGTCGTGGGTACTGCACCGAGAGTGTCTCTCGCGTCTCGGGGAGAGGAGCGTACTCACTACTCTCTACTCTGTATGGCTACGGAGATACGCACGCAAACGCATAGATAGACGCAGAGCACAGTCTCACGCGCCACACGCGGCGGGACGAGCGAGAGACATCTCTCGCGGCAGATACGGCAGAGCGCAGACGCGCAGAGTCATCGGCATCATTTTGTTGAGATAAATGGTGATTAATGGTCGACGTACGACGACACGCCGACTGGCCTCTGGCGACACTTTCCGACTGCCTCTGCCACACTCTCTCCATGCGGCCTCGTGTCGCCGCCGCTTAAGGTGAAGAGGGCTGTCTCCGCGCTCTCTCAGGTCTCAATAAATAAATAAAACGGACACCTCTACTAGGAGATGGGTAAAAAGGAACAGGTCCCCGCCCTGCGGTCTTTGTGCAGGGTTCTTTGTGGGTGTGGTCGGCGACTAGCCGGGGTCGTCCTCCCGATGGGGGACTAGCACTAGCCGTCTTCCACATGGTCCCTCGGCGCTCGGGTCCCTGAGCTGCTCCTAATCTCTTCGTACATCCTCCTGCTGATCTCCGCAACGTCCTGCTCTCCCTCCCTCGTCTCGCCCTGCGCGACTGCTCCGCCTCACCGTCGTCCGCCCTGCGTCGTCTGGTGACGGGTCCTCCATAGCGTCGGTGTTGAGGTCGCCGCCCTCCTCGTCTCAGGTCTCAGCCAGCGTAGACGGTTGGGTCTTATTTGCGCATGGGCGATGAGGCATGTGTAGAGCCACCGTGTATACTACCACAAACGAGACGGGATCTGGGACGCACATACGGCCGGACGCACTCTCAGCTCTCATGACACGTCTCACCCGGGACCAGAGTGTGTGGCGCACATGCAGTTCAGTGAGATCAGCGGCGCGGTATCGCCTTGACCCTTGAGCCCACCAGCGCGAGCAGCCAGAGTAGGCGGCGCGTGCACACGAGTCACGACATGCACGTATTCGGTTCTTTGCTGCTGGGCGAGCGACACATTCGCCGCGCCCGCCACGAGCACTTCCGCAGCACTCCACGACGACAGAGACACGGGAGGTCTCAGGCCTTTGCACCGCCGATGCTGGCTCGCCGGCCAGAGGTGCGCTTGGCGTGCACGCCGAGCACGACGAGCCTGCGTCGCAACACACCAACGTCAGCGTGCCGTGCCGTGTCTTCACCGCAGGAAGATGAGGGGCTGCGAATGCAGCCACACACAGCCGAATGCGTGTGCCTACGCGATGCTAGTCGGAATGCACGGGACTAGTATTCCGCATCTAGAGGTGCATGCCGCTCGCGAGCCGCGGCGGCGAGTGGCGCCATCGCGTGCAGCTTGGCGGAGAGGGCGGGCACGTCGCCGAGCGGCGCAAAGTAGTGTTCCTGCGGTGTGGACAGAGCGAAACGGTGAGGTGCAGCCGAGTGTGCCAGCGAGAAGCCGAGAGTCCGTCTTCAGGTGTCTAGACGGGCTAGGGTGAGTAATGCAGGCGGCACCTCGCTCATCCCGAGCTCGACGACGAGGTGGGCGAGGGCGGAGAGGCGGCAGAGGTGCTGCTGCGCGTTCGCGTGCGCGGCGGCGACTTGCGGCAGCACCGCCGCGTCACCAAACACGGCGAGGAGCATTGCGTGCGACTGCGCCCACAGCAGCAGGCCTGGGGCGGCGCAGGGGTGAGGCCGGGCGTCAGGCGGGTGCGGCCGGGAGGGGGGGGGGGGGGGGGTCTCGTGGCAGCTTCGGGGCGGCTGGGCGGTGCCTTGCGGAGGCTCAGCCAGGCCCTCAGCCAGGCCCTCAGCCGCGCAAGGGCGGCAGCGGCGGCGGCGGCGGCGGCGGCGGTGGTGGTGGCGGCGGCGGCGGCGGCGGCGGCGCGAGTGGCCGGTGGGGTGGGGTTGGGTGGAAATTTCTCGGAAGGGGGTTCTCGGAAGGCACCGTGCTTCCCCCCCGGG